AGTACACTTCTCTATGCAACCTCAATTCTGTGTGTGTGTACCGTCAAATCAGATCTGACTGGTACAGGAGGAGATTGCCCCTCCTTCCCCGGCAGAGCATCTGGTGGATTCGAACCCTGCACCTCTGGGATTGTAGTTGCAGCTTCTTGCCACTAGGCCACCAGAGCTCCCCCTATGCAACCTTAATTCTGGATTCCTGTGCTAACCATAATACTCAATCATATATTACGTCTAATCTGTTCTTTCCCTCATCTGTTTCAATACAATATACATAATTTATTCAGTTTTTTCTGTCGTGCACCCACCCTGATGTCAGACCCATTCTACAACAGTCCAGTACCACATCTTAAAGGCACCTATTCTTCTATTATCCTTAGTCATTGTCGAGCTTTCTGTAAACAGCAAGTAATTGTGAAAACTATGGCCTTGATCAGGCACACCTTAGTCTCTAACTGACATCATTGCTCTTCAGCACTCTGGAGAAGTCTCTGACAGTAGATTTTTTTTTTTCCTAATGGAATTAGTCTTTTGATTTCCTCACTGCTGGTGCCATGAATGTTGATTGTGGAACCAAACAAGTTGGAATTATTAACAACTTCAGTATCTTCTTCATTTATGATGAGGCTGCCAGTTGACCCTTGTAGTGAGAATCTTTGTTTTCTTGATGTTGAACTTCCATCCATATTGACGACTGAAAACTGTGGTCCTTGCCCTTCTGCAGCAAATGCTTCAAGTCCTTCATATATTTGAAAAGTAAGGTTGTATCATCTGCATAATACAGGTTGTTGATGAATTTTCCTCTAATCCTAATGCCATATTCCTCCTCATAAAGTCTAGCCTCCCAAATGATCTATTCTTTATGTAGATTAAAGAGGTTTGGATGCATTCTTTCTTGATTTTGAATCATACAGTGTTTTCTTGCTCTGTTCTGAGGACTACTTCCTGGTCTAAGTATAGGTTTCACATGAGCACTATTAAGTGTTCTGGAATTCACATCCTTCTCCGTGTTAGCCACAATTTTTTGTGATCCACACTGTCAGTGCCATTACATAGTCAATTAAACACAGATAGACATTTCTCTGATACTCTTTGCTTTCTGCCAGGATCCATCTAATATTGGCTACGATGTCTCTAGTGCCACAGCCTTTTCTAAACCTAGTTTGTATTCTGGTAGTTCACTGTCATGTACTGTTCCAGTTATTTTTGGGTAATCTTCAGCAGGATTCTGCTTGCATGTAATATTAGTGATATTGTTTGATAATTTCTACACTCTGTTGGATCACCTTTGTTTTGGAATGTGGATCTCTTCCAGTCACTTGGACGTTGCCCTCCAAATTTCTTAGCACAACCTGGGGAGCATGTCCAGAACTACATCTATTTGTTGAAATATGTCAGTTGATATTCTACCAGTTCCCTGGGGCATGCATGCATTCATTCATTCATCCATTTACTTATTTTTGCCAATTCCTTCAGAGCAACTTGAACGTCTTCCTTCATCACCATTGCTTCTTAATCATAAATTGTTTCGTGAAATTCATCTGTATCAGCAAGTTCTCTTTAATACCATGACTCAGTGTACTCCTTTCCTCTTCTTTTGATGCTACCTGGATCATTCAATATTCTCCCCTTAGCATCTTTAAGTATTGTAGCTCAAGGCTTGAATTTGTTCTTCGTTTTCTTCAGCTTGAGAAATGCCTAGGGAGTTTGTACATTTTAATTTTCCAACTCCAGCTCTTTGCACATTTAGTACTTTGCTTTGTCTTCCCAAACTGCCCTTGAAACCTTCTGTTCAGCTCCTTTACTTCCTGATTTCTTCCTTTTGCTTTGGCTTCTTGGTGTGCTAGTGTAATATTCAGAGTCTCTTTTGACATCCATCACAGTCTTTTCTTCTTTCTTACTCTTTGTAATTACAGCAAATTAGGGGGACTAAAAAGAGAAGTGATTGTTGATTAATGAACTATAAATAAAAAAATATTATCTCTTTTAGAATGTTGTTATGTGACATTGAATCACATGTGACTCATAGTGACCCTATATACAACAGTCCTGAAACCTGCTCTATCCTGTGCCAATTTTAATGTCTCTGACACACCTATCCCCATTACCCTCCCTCTCTTTCTCTTTTTCTTTCTCCTCCCTCCACCCTTCCAAGCATGATGTCCTTCTCCAAGTACTGGTCTCTCCTTGCAACATGAAAAACCAATATGATTTAGAAACTTTTACTTGAAAAAAATACATTTTAAAAATAATAAAGTGCATTTCACAGGAAAATCAGAGGCAAATTACTCAAATAATTGTCTTAGTTTGCTTTATAAACAAATAATGGATTTAAGTGAACAAGAGGAAATAAAAATATTTTAAGAATGTAATCATTACTGATATAATTTCTGAGGAGAACTCTAATGGAGAGATCTTGTTCTACTATACATGATATCTTGTTCTAATATGCATTAAGAAACAAACGTTTTTAAGACATGACAGCCTTGTTTTTCTAAATTACCTGATGTGAATTTTACATTAGAGTCTGTGTAAACATAAACACACATAGGCTATTGGTGAAATTATTTTCTAGAGAATAATTCATGTTATGAATTATGGAATTAACTTTTGGGAACTGTATTTAATGGTATTTGATTGCTAAAAAGAGCTAAAAGCACTTGCTATCCTAAGATTGCTCTTTCATAGGCAGGTGCTGTGCTAAAGCTGCACATGAAGGGACAGGCCTGCCAAGCTACCCTGTGAGATCATGGGTGGAAGATGCCACCGTCTGTAGGAGTGACCTCTGACTGGCTGGACCCATGACAGTGTTTTTTCCCCTACAAAGTATCAGAATAAAATTCTTGAGATGCAGAAAATAGATCTTTTTATATGATAACTCCATTATAACTTCTTGTTTATGCTTTGTGACTTTTAAAATTTAGCCTAAATTATTTAAAGAATGTTAGAGCCTTTAAAAAAAGACTTTTTAAAAAAAAATACTTTTGTGGAGTCCAAGGCGTAGAACCCATTGGTACCAAGTAGATTACAACTCATAGTGACTCTCTAAGATAGATTAGAGCTGTCCCATAGGTTTCCAAGGCTATAGATCCTTTAAAAAAAGGAAGGAAACAACCTCATCTTTTTGTTTAATGGCTGATCTTTAGATTCATTGCCCAGTGCATAATCCACCGTACAACCAGATCCTTTATAATATCTAAAGATAGTATTCATAGTTTACTTTTAGAATATTCATAGTCTACCTTTAGAATATTCATAATCCTTGGTATTAGGTACCTAATAAGTGGGGCTTTTAAAAATGGAATTAAAGGGAGCTTTGGTGGCATAGTGGCAAGAAGTTGCACTGCAGTCCCATAGGTACATGGTTTAAATCCACCAGATGCTCTGCTGGAGAAGGAGGGGCAATCTCCTCCTGTACCAGTCTGATCCGATTTGACAGTACACACACAGAAAATAATAAATTTTTTTAAATGGAATTAAATACAGATATTTGCAAAACGTTGAGTATATGTAACTTCAGGGAGGTAAGAATAGACTTAAGTGTGTTGGAGGTGGTGAGGGTGGCACAGGACAGTGCAGGTTTCAGTTCCATTGTTCATAGGGTTGCTGTGAGCCACAGTTGGCCTGATGGCAGTAACAGCTTCATGAAGCTCCGGTGATGTCGTCTGTGGCGAGCTGTGTTGCTAACTCCAATGCCCAAGTTGGAATCTACCAACTGCTCTGGGAGAAAGATGGACAGTTTGCTTCCATTGTAATTTACAACCTTGGAAGCTCGATGGACAGTTGCTGTTTGGAACTAACTCAAGAGCGGGAAGTTTAAAATTTTTCATTTCTTAGATAGTTGGGCTGCTAACTGAAAGCTTGGTATATTTAGGATTGATCGCTTGGGGAGAAAGATGGGCAATTAACTCCCGGGAAGAAAGGCATCCTGGGAAACTGATGAAAAGTTGTTCACATCTTATTGTGAACTGACTTACTGACAGTGAGTTTGGTTGGGTTTGTTTGTTTAAATACCTAACTTTATGCAAGCTCTGGTGTAGTCTTAAGCACATCATACTGCTAACCCAAAGGCCAGTGCCTCTGGTGGTTCCAGTCCGCCAGCGGATTGGTGAGATAAAGTCTCCTCTCATCATGATTTATAGCCCTGGAAATTGGATGGTGAGTGGCTATGAGTCAGAACCAACTTGAATGTAATTAACTTTGAATTTTATCATCTTTCCCAGGGGATAAGGAGTTACACTGCCAATAATACAAAGATGCTCCACAGGAGAAAGTTAGACAGTCTCCTGTGTGATTTATAGTCTCTGAAAACAGTCGAGATTGTCAGCAATGAGTCTGTTCTGATTCCATGACTCATAACAACAAATATAGTCTCTTATTTATATTCCCCCACCACCAAATATTTATTTGGACAGCACAATATTTACTCACAGTGTAATACACAAAAACTATTAATAAATATTATTTATATACCTATAAGGGAAGATGGTCCAATGAGACAGTAGAATTGGGCCACGTGACACCAAGCAGATGCCAACCCTGCATTCTTCCAGAAGTGTCTTCCAGATAGTGAGGCTTGTTTGGAACACAGAAAATCATGGCACTCATTTGAACAATCTCTTTACAGAAACCAAAACCACCGACACCTCCCGCCGCAGACGAGCATCCCTGCCTTGCTTTTCCTAAACCCCCAGTGGACCCTGCGAAGATTCGAAGGATAAGCAGTTCACGGGCGCGCTTGTTCAGGGCGGCCTCACAGGGCACCCTGCTTCCTGACCGAGCCCTTCCTCCAGATGAGAGTAAGGCCACGTAACATCTTTTCAAACTTGAGACTGGAGCTTCTTGAATTTGCATGTAAAAACTAATTTTAGAACATTTTCCCCTACTTTCATGCAATTTCTACATTAACTAGGGCTTAGTTAATATCATATTGCCAAAGAAACACTGCCCATATATTTTTCTGGATGTTTCTAAGTAGTCTGTAAAGCCACAGTTGTTTTTATTGCTTTTAAATGACTCAGTTGGAAAAGCCTATTAGGATAACTATTTTGCCTAATGGGTAGGTCCACATATATGGGAAATAGATTCTTTTTAAATTAGAGTTCAAAACGCTGTTCATTTCCTCGGACATACTTCACATTCATATAGTATACCCTGAAGTCTTTGAAAATACCTTTCTGATTGAGGGGGATTATTAAAACAGTGACTGAATGGGACATTTGGTATTGCCAAACAGTTGCTGGCTGGGATCGAAACCTGGGATCAGAGACTAAAGACCTCAGTTGCTGAGTGAGACATCAGTAACTAGGATAACCTTTCTCCAGGGCAGGAAATGGCTCTCTTGTAAGGTGACAGTCAGGTTAATGGGTTACAACCAGGATTTTTAAAAAAATAATGTAGTAGAATATAAAAGTAATAGTAAGGATAAGTATTGCCTCAAGACACTATTCAATTATGTGTGTGTATACACACACACACATTCAGGGTCACATTAAACATTTTCCTTCTCAGGAGAAAGATGAGCCATTTCCTCCTGTGTTATTTACAGCCTCCCAAAACCTGCTGAAGAGTCACCTATGAGTTGGTTCTGACTTGACAACAATGAATTTGCTTGCTTTTGCTTTTTGTTTCTTGTTTCTTTTCTTCCTTTATGCTCACAAAAGCTGGAATCCCATTTTGCCACAGTAGGGAGACCTGGCCCTACTTCATTTAACAGGGATTGAGAAGAATGGTAGGTTTACCTTCGTGGAAAGAAGGAGCTCATCTAAAAATAGATGTCATAGGTTATAAACTGCCCCAGAGGGTCATGCTTGTTTGGTTCCCAAGTGTTTCTTCTTGATTAATTGTCAATGTTTTTAAAGTAGAAGACCTTATGGAAGAGTTTAGATTCATGACCTATGGTGAAAAACCGGAAGTTGAAGTAATGTTGAGTTCTCATTCCTTATAGCCCCAGCAGGGAATAATTGGAACTTGGTAGCAGGCCTGAGATGAGTCTAGAATTCATTCTGTATCTCCAGGCCATTTCACTCATTTTCCTGTCTGGCCTTTGTGGGCTTTTGGTTTGACGGTCTCTGACAGAGATCAAGAGGTAGAATCCAAGAGACAGGAAAAGACAGTTTATGGTGTGTTCATCAACCCAGGATTCCATAGTGGAGTCTATAACTACGCGCTTTATATTACCTTGGTTTCTTAATGTAATAGCACAATCAGTCACTACTAGGTGCCAGCCACTATTCTAGACCAGCTGTGTTGACAAAAGCAACCAAATCTTGCCCCCAAGGAGCTTGCACTCTAGTGAGGGAAGATAGATAGATGTTAAACAGGAAAACAAATTCTAAAAATGATTTGAGATCTGCTGACTTCGACAAAGAAGCTAAACAAGAGAATGAAGTAAAGAATGAGTGTGGCCAGGGTCATTTATTTTTGCTTATGTAGCTCTGGAAGGTGGTGATGTGGAGATGATATTTAAATTGAAATCTGTCTCATGAGAAGGAAGCAACCATGTTTTGTTTTTTTAAAAAAAGCAGACCTATGGTAGGAATGCCCCTTGCTGAAAAAGAGCAACTTTAAAGCCCTGGACATGGGCACAAGCATGAGTAGTAGGGGGATCAAAGCCCAGTGCTACTGTAAGGGAATTTGCAGAGGGAGCTGAGGTCTAGCAGCGCTTTGGATTGTGTGAAGTGGCTTGGACTTGACTGGTGGCAGTGAAAAACCAGAACCAGCTTTAAAGAGGGCAGAGACATGTTCTGTTTTATCCTTTTTTAAATTGTCCAATGGCAATTCCTAAGTAGATTTACCATTAGAATTCTCTTTTCCAAAGTTTTGCTGCTGGGGTCCCATGACAGACCAAAGAAATGGGAAATTATCCCTTTAAGGTAATTTTGGGAACAAAGTCTTTGACAAAATAAGAAAAGGTGGAATCTGGAGACCAAGGAGGTGGGGGTACAGACTTGGAAAAGAAGAGGGTCACTCCTTTTAAAGAGAGATGGCAGAGCTTGGGTGATGATTACAAAAGTACAGTTGTTTATGATAGATTTTTGTTATTGTTGTTCAGAATATGACTGCTACAAGCATTTTTCTAAAATGCATGTAGGCTTCGGTAATACTGCTGAGCTGTTCATGTTTACATGAAGGTAAGAGACAGGTATTTCATCCACTGTCCTCACCCTCTGTGCTTCCCCAATGATTTTGTTCCTCCTGTCCGGGCCACCTGGCCTTTGCATGGCCATAGCACCTCATTTGTGCTCTGAGGGGTGACTGTCCTCTCCCAGCACCTCTAGGTTGTGCTGGAGCATGTCCATGTAGGGTTCTCACATCCACTCTGCCTGCAGTTGCTCCACTTCACCACCTGCTTCACCTCCGAGGTCTATGTCAGCACTCAAATAATGGCAGTAAAAAGTAATTGCAGCTCTAAAAGCACCCGTTGCCCAATTTAAAAGCATATTTTAGCTCTTGAGCTTTGGAATCTTTGTGATTGGTCATGGCCTCCTAGGATTTCATTTCAGAGTCCCTCATTGTTTGGAAAAGGTAGCCTTTGTTTGGTAACTGAGACCTTAGTGCACCTGCCAGGAGACAGAGGACTCTTCTCTCCCGCTCTTGTGAAATGCACTACAATGATGCAGCGCCACAGGCAGGGTCAGGGGTGTGGTGCAGGCTTGGAATTCCTGGGCTAAGAAAACAACAGTGCGGAGAGCAGTCATCTCAAAGGCCAGAAGCCCAGTTGTTTTATGTTCAAGTAGGATTCTAGCTGGAGACGGCAATGCTTTTTTTCCCAGTCTTTTTTTTTTTTTTAAATTGGTTTTCTTACAAAGTTTTTATACTTTGTGTTTTCACACTATTTTTCTTTCACATTGTGATTCATACAATTATGCATTTTATAAGTTTTATAAAATTTTAACACCTCTCAGTTACTGAAGTCAGAATCTTAGAGCAGTTTCCACTTCTCACCAGTTCCCATCATCCCTCCCATCCCCAGGTTGTCCCAGCTTCCAAAATACCTCATGAGTCCACCTTCTTCTTTCCCATCGCTGCCACCACAAAGTCAAGCCAGTTGATATTGAGTCACTTCAAATTCATAAAGACTCCTTGTGTGTCACAGTGGAACTTTGCTCCATAGGGTTTTCAGTAGCTAATGTTGGAGAAGTGAAAATGCCATTTTAAAGCATTATCTCTGGGTGGACTTGAACCTCCAGCCTTTTGGTTAGCAGCTGAGTATGATAATCATATACTCAACCCAGGTACTCGTCATTGCCACTGTCCAGGCTGATTTCCATTGTCTCGATCGTCTAGCACCTTTTAATCTCCTCCACTTCACTGGAGTGAAGCACTTGGGCTGCAGGTAGGTCAGCACAATGATCCTCAGCTCCTAGAGCAACCAGCAGAGCCTGGGAAAACCCTAGCTGCCAACCTGTTAGGGCTATGGGCATCAGCTTTGCCTGTTTGTCCCAGCTGATAGACCATGAAAATGTTGTATGTGTGTGTCATGAGAGGTGAGAGATTGGCAAATTAAGATCATATCATCCTTACTGAAGACCTTTAGTCACTCTCCTTGCCCTCCAGTCAAAACCAACTCATAGTTTACCCTAAAGAGGAGGCTGTAAATTGCATGAGAGGAGATTTCCCATCTTTTCTCCTCTGGAGGTGCTGGTGAATTCAAACCACCACAAAGCAGCACAACAAACCAGACAGTGCCACCAGAGTTCCCCTTTTGGAGGGGCCCCTGTACTCAGAGGAGTGGTTGCCACATTTAAGTTCAACGAAACACTTTTGGCTAATGGCTTTTCTTTGGAAGAAAGGTTCAGTGTGGGGAAGCATTGCATATTTCCCTTCTCTCAGGGAAATTAAACAATACACACTAATATGCTAAAGAGTTAGTAAAGCTATGTGGTCAAGATTTATTTAACTTAAATTGAACCAGCATTTTATAAGGCTGCCTGGCATAGCAGTCTGTCTTTTGGGAAACACTGGCCGTGTGCAGAAGTGGCAAACTTTGTAAAGGGCCAAACAATGTGTTTAGCTGGTGGGCTGTACAGAAAAAAGAGATGGACTAGATTGGGCCAGTGTGTTGCAAAGGATGAATCCCAACTCCTTGGCACTTGGAGCAGTGCAGTGGTCTGGCACCAGCCTGGCTCTCTGGGTCCTCTGCACCCCTGTTCCCTGCAGTTCCCCATACCCATCCAACCTTTTCAAGCCTCATGCAGAACCTATTATGCAATTTTCTAGCCCTCATGTACAATGAAAATGTGAGAGTTTTTGATTAAAATTGTTAAGAATTTGAGAATGGTGACGGAACACATGTAACCAGGTGTGCATTCTAAGTGTGCAGCCCTGTCTAACTGCAGAGGTCACATCTCCATAAAGCCTCCCATGACTATGCTATTTCAAATTCTATCCACCCCCACTCCTAATCCCTCTTTATCCTTTCCTACTTTTCCATTTTCCCATAGCATTTATTATCATACATTGATCTCAGAAAATTCAAACTCATTGTTGTTGAATCAGAATTGACTCCTAGTCAACCCTCCAGTAGGTTTTTTGAGGCTCTAAATCACAGAAGGAGATTGCCCATCTTTCTCTCTCAGAGCAGCTGGTGAGTTCAAACTACCAGAGAGGTGCCTTTGGATTAGCAGTGCAACTCCCTGTGGATTATGCCATCAGATCTCCTTTTGTATCGAGCATATAACCTATTTAATATGGTTTAGTCTTTATTGTCAGCCTCTCCCTGTTGAGATGTAAGACTTATCCAGAATCTTTGTTGTGTCAGTGATGCATCCCAAGTGCTTAAGATAGTCAGTTTCTCACAATGGAGAGGCATTCATTATATAGATAGCTTGGATTAAATGGAAAATCGCTAACATGCTACTTCCAAATGCAGGAAAAATTGTTGTTGTTAGACATTGAAGTACTTATAGTGGATCAAGCAGTTCATACACTTTAATTTGGGTGTTTCCTTCAGTAGACCCCAAGCTAGTTGAGAAAAGACATTACATTTTCCTATTCATTTTTACCTGCTGAGTTGATGACATCAGGCCTGAAGTTATGACAAGGTCTTGTATATGTTCAAAGAAGTTTGGGCCATAAAATTCCAGACTGGATTATTAAAAGCAATACATAATTTTAAGTTCCTTTAAATTCTTAGGTTGAAAAAAGTATGTTAGAAGATAGTGATGCCTAAAACAAGAAAACTTGGACAGACATCTCCTTGGTTATTACAGCACAGAAGGCAGGGGAATCCAAAGGAACACTTCTGACAGGGGATGGTATGGTGAAACGAAATGGGATTTGTTTATCAGAATCACATGCTGCTGGCCACCTAAATAGTCGCCCACTCCAGTTAAACTATGATGGAGGCTTCGGTGGAATCAAGGAGCAACAACTGTTCAAAGGGACAACGTCCTTACCGTCTCACCTCAGAAATGAAGGGTCAGTATCAAGTTTTGCTTTAATATTTAATTTTATGATCAAGATTACCATGTCATTTACCAGTTTATTCTCTGTCTTATTCAGATTATTAATTTACTTTTTTTCATATAAATGAATTTTAAGTTAATGACACATGATGGGAGACATGTCTTCTCATGACTGACTGGATAGAGTCAGTTTTACATCATTCCTTATTTAATCCTCAGGATTAAACTCATACCTGCCAAAAAACTGTTTTGATAGTCCTATCAGTATATGGTCTTTGCTTAATGTCGTTCGACTTGAAGTTTGCTCTTGAGTGATGACTAATGGTTCTCTTTGTGTATTATTTGAGATTCTTGGCTCACCTGGAATCTCCTGTTACTCCCTTTGGATTAGTTCTCAGTTGTTAACACCGCAAAAGGGTAGCACTTAATTTAGCTCATGCTCCAAAAGAAACTTGGATTAAAGGATTTATATCACAGATACTTAAGACAGGACTGTCCGCTGGATTTCAGGTGTCTTAGGGACCCATTTACTATATCCTCATAAGATTATTTAGAATTATTTAATAATGTTTTCCTGGATAAAGCTTTTCTAAGAAGCAGTTTCCTTCCCATATTAAAATTTTTTTAAATGTACATATTGGGAATTTGGGAATTTGTGCTTTGGTGTTTTACTAAAGAAGTCTTGAATGGTTTGAACCTTGGGTGGTGACTAGAGTAGAGAGACGAGGTTTTCTTCACATATTCTTTATTCTTTGCCAGTAATGTATTCTCCAGTAATAGTGATAGATAGGAAGAAGATTTTGGTATGGTTAAGGTCACTTAGAAAAGAAGATTGCTCTAGAACTTTCCATTGGGTCATTTGGAATTTGCTTAACAAAATTCAATTCCCCAGACTGCTTTAAGACCAAGTATTTGTTGCACTTATTTTAGATTTCGGGTCTTACTTTGGCTGGCTGCACATATGGAGCATGCTTGAAACTTTTCCCTGAAGTGACCAGTTGGCAGCTTGCTAGTTTGGCCGAACTGCCCCTGCCTGCTGACGTAACCTAACAAGTGTCACACACACAGTTTATATTCGGCAACCCAGGAGTCCTTGTAATGTCACTCAGCATTCAGAACATTTTTTAAATTAAAGGGAAAATGAAATGTCTCCTTAAGTGGAAGAGAATGGCTTCAAATTGGGACTTTGGGAGTTGAGCACAAAACATCAAACTGGGCATGGCAGACAAATCTTTTCCAGTTGGTGAATAAGAATAGGCTGTGGACCTCAGGGCTTTCACATAAAGGCAGCAAGAAAACGTGTGCTTCTTTCAAAGCTGAAGTGGAAAGGAAACGTTTATCCTGCAGCACCCATCCTTACAGTAATTAAAGTTGGCTCGGAATAACTAGACAAGAGCTGTTTTATTTTATTATTATTTGTAAACTTCTGGATTCTGAACAGTAATATGGTAAGTCAGAGTTCATCAGGTCTTCCTCCGTCTGTGACAGCAAAGGCATTTTCATTTACATGTTTTAATACACAAAGAGCAAAGGGCAATCAGTTAGGTGTTGGACATGCTTCTTTCTATTGTCCCAAATTATAAGGAATTATAGCATTAATTGTTTTCTTTTTATTTTGTTAGGATGGCTCTTGCATTATATAATGATTATGTTTGAGTTGGGTTTGGAATACACCCTTTCAGGGTTAGCTTTCAGTAACATTTTTGCTTTATAAAACTTCACCTCCATTAATCATTGAATGGAATGTAGTTGAAGTGATGAAAGAAGAGTTTATACAGGAGGATTAAAACAAACTAGAAAATGGAAACTATTAGCAGTTCTTTCATTAATTACATTATGAATCAGTCTGGGACACTTTGATAATTGTTTCTTGTAAACATTTAAGTGAATTATTCCAAGAAATGATCTCTGCTGTGCAGTGGAGTATTCCCAGTGTTGATGCTAAAGCCCTATCCTCAATTAACATTTTTTCATCTTTTGGCCATGAAGTACAAAATGAAGATGCTGGCCCGTGTGCTGGGCTGATGAGGAAGGGGAGAAAAGGGCATGCCCAACCCAGAATGAAGAGGCCTGAGGTGACAAGAGAGTGTGAGAAAGAACATGTGCAGGTCATGTTTAGGGGACAAAGGAGACAAGGAGAGGTGCCAGCCCATCCTTACGTGCCGCCCCCTCCTACAGACCTGTCTTTGGATAGGTAGGGAGGGAGCAAAGAAATGAATAGTTTATTTCTGTGAAACTGCATTGATTGTTGTTGTTAAGTGCTGTACAAGGGATAGACACAACATAAGGGTGGCTGAGTCTGACTTCTACCCACTTTTAAAAGGGAAACTATCCCCATCAGTATCATCCTTTGCTGCTGTTGTTGTATTGTATTGTTGAGTTGGAATTGACCCATAGCTGACCCTCCAGTGAGTTATCAGAGGCACAGAAAGAGGTTGCCTATCTTTTTCCCCTGGAGCAGCTGGTGGACTGCAACACAGCTTCAAATACCTGCAAGGTTAGACATGCCACCCCCTCCCTCATGCTCCTGAACTTATTTCTATTAATCTTTGAGTCCAATGTTTGTTGTAAGACTCACAGACTTTACTCACAGTTGTGGGACATAGGTTATGGAGTGGCAGAGGCAAAGAGTACCACCAGTCCAAGTCCACATTTAGTTTTTCCAGATTTAGTTCAACAGTCTTCAGCAGATTAACAGCAAGACACAATTCCTCAGTTCATGAAAGTCTGTTTTCGTTCAGTAGCACAAATGCAAGAAGCCTATGATTTCCTCCATCATGTAGCACACTTTATCGCAGAGCTTTTCCAGGTTTCAATTCCTCAAGCAAAATCTGTAGCTGTGGCTACACTGCCAAGATTCCTCTGGTGATCCCTTGCCACAGTCTCATCATAGCAGTGCCAGAGTCTCTTTACCCTCTCTCCACCACCATTGTTGCCATTTTTCAGAGTATGGAAAGCACGCTTATATTCACCCCACAGCTGTCGATGAGTTGCAAGAGCATGTGTCCACGGTTAAGGTAGCTGGAGACCATGTCCCTCAGGGGGCTAAACTATTGCTATAAAAGCCAGTTTTCAAGGGTTCTAACACCCCAATTGCTGTTGAGTCAAATAAAACTTATAGCAACCCTATGAACAACAGATCTGAAGCATGTCCTATCCTGGGCCATCCTTACCATTTCTGATATACTTGATCTCATTGCTCCAGCCACTATGTCAATTCATGTACTTGAAGGTCTTCCCCTCTTTGTCTCACCTTCCACTTTCTAAGTATGCATTAATTGGTGCATCTTTAATTCAGAAATACGGGATAATCCACACTAGGGATACATTGGAGGTTTTCTCCATGTTGTTTGTGAGAAGAAAAGTATTTGATTAGCAACGTTAACTAGTTAACATCCCCAAAGAGACCACACTTTGAAATACTTATAGGAGTTTCATCTTCACACATGCACCAAATATGACAATCTGTGTGTGTCCATATAAGGATTTCTTTTAGGGTTGACAGCTTTACTCCTCAGCAGCACTCCACTATTTATTACATTGTGTTGCCATTGGACTGAACACCATGAGGCTACCATTTAAAATGTGTTTGTCTTCATCTATCCAGCCAGTGATTCAATCCTAGGGCCCATTTATGTATCTGTTTAAAAGCCTTTCAAGCTTTCTGTATAAACACTGTACAGACTGCCACAATTTGGGAACGTGACCATCAGGAGGGAAGGCAGCTGTAAAAGGAATGTACCAGAGAAGTCGGATATTGTCAAGAGTCAAGAACGCATCATGAGGCCACGAGACCTGGGTATAGGTTCGATTCTCTCACAGCTGTTTGATTGAGCTATGTAGACTTGAACAAATCTGTTAACTCTTTCATGGACTCAGCTTTCTAATTGGAAAAATGGGGATAACTGTGCTTTTTCACCGCTATCTTCTTCCCCAAGTCCCATTCCAAGTTTTGCAATGTTTAATAATACTTGCAAGCACATGCTGTAAAACAGTTCAAGTACTGTGTGAAGTTAGTACTGTTGAAATAAAAAATAAGAGAGACTATAAGTTAAAGATAGCAAAGCTAAGACATCCTGCAGAAACCCAAATGAAAACAGCAAATGAAAAATAGAGAAATCTTATCAATGAGACAGGAAATTGGATACAACCCCAAACTGTAAACCATGAAACAAACTTGCCATATGGGCTTGATTTTTTTTTTCTATCTGCTTAGCATACATTCCTTCAGAGACAAAGCCTTAATATTACTGTTTACTAAGTCCTGCCCAGTCTCTGTTTGGAGAACAGCTGATTCTACCCAGAGCTAGCTAACTAGAGTTTTTTAACCTACTCAACCAATCACAGCAGTTGTGTCAGAGACAGGCACACAGTCTGAATTTAATTTCTCCCTGGGAGGACTGTCAGAGCCTTTTAGAAAGTATCTTTTCTACAAGTTCATAAACTGAAAAGAAGAGGTAATCTTGTAGCTGGCAATGGCCATCTTGTTATCTTTCAATTATAAATTCTGTGAAGAAAGTAATGTATAAACAAATAGAGCCAGACCATGAATGGAGTGACCAAGTCCAGTGATGTATTAAACTGCTGAATTTACCACTCTCTGAATCCACCTCCTCCACATTATAGACTGCTCTATTGTGTGATCCAGTGTGTTACTACTTTCTCCTCCTCCTCCCCCTCCTCCTCCTCCTTCTTCTCCTCCTCCTCCTCCCCTCTTCCTCCTCCTCCTCCTCTTTTTCCTCCTCTTCCTCCCCTTCTTCTCCTCCTCTTCTTCCTCCCTCTTTCTCCTTCCTCTCTCCTTCTCCTCTTTCTCCCTTCCTCCTTCCCTCCCTCCCACCATCCCTCCATTCTTCCCTCCCTCCCTCCCTCCCTCCCTTCCTTCCTTCTTTTTCTCCCATCATTCCTTTCATTTCTTGTCAGGGTCAGCTTGTGCTCCTTTGATTATATTTTTTCCCCCCTATTTGGAAACACTACAACCAATAGAGTCAGCCTTCTAGTCTGTAAACTATACAG